AATGATTAAAAAAATCAGGTTTTTAAGGTGATGTCTGGCAATAGATGAGATTTAAGGCAGTAGAATTTAGTAAGTCTCTTAAATCCGATTTTACTAAATCTTGAATAGATTAAATTTGAAAAATTATCAGACAATAGATTTACAGTAAATTTATTTGACAATTTCTGCAAGGATTTAAGTTGTTATGGCCGTTAGGAGGCCTGCGAAGCTAAATTTCAAATCCCATGAAATTAAATCCACCGATTCCTGAGATTTACAACTGAAATACGTGGAATCCGGATTTAATCCGTTGGCAGCCAGCCCCTTTAACTCTGTTGCTAATGTTGTTGCTCATGGGATGGCAGGATTCACGATTCCGAAGGGATGCAAGGTGTTTGCTTCATTCAGAGCAGTGCACCTTGACAGAGATTACTACGAAGAAGCCCGGACCTTCAACCCATGGAGATGGCTGGTGAGCTTAATGAATGAATCATGGGTGACAAGGAGAAGAGTAACTTAACAAAAATGTTGCCATGAATTTTGTACAGAACCACAACAACAATGTCAGCAAAGATGGAGGCCAGCAAGCTGGTGGATCTCCCATCTTCACTCCATTTGGGGGTGGCCAGCGGCTCTGCCCCGGCTACGAGCTCGGCCGTGTCGAAATCTCTGTCTTCCTCCACTACCTTGTAACTTGCTTCAGGTAATTCTACCTACTCATGTTCTTCGCTTCCATTATTACTAGGGCTGTCAAAAAGCTCGTTGTTCGCAAACAATTCATGTTCGGTTCGTCAGAGAGTTTGTGTTCGATTCGTTCGAAAAACAAACGAATCGAACACGAGCAGTTTTTTTTTGTTCAGTTTGTTAAACAAATCAAACGTAAACAATGATGTGTCCGTTCGTGTTCTATTCGTTAATGTTCAAAATATAAAATAATTTAAAATATTTATATATAAAAAAAGTATGATATTTTAAAAATAATTATATATTCTAAAAATTTATCATTATTTAAAAAATTAAATTCTATAAATCATAATTTATAATAATTATTAATAACATTAATACTATATTACTGTTGATTATATTAATATAAATATTATAATATTATAATTAATATAATACACTATATATTAAAAAAAACCCTAAAGTCGTAATTCTAAACAACGCTTCTCACACTTCGACCGTGCCTCCCCTCTTCCTATCTCCCCTCTTCCGAGCCTTCTCCTTTTCTTCTCAAAATCACGAAAGCTTTTCACCCCACTATGAGAGTGTCGACGATAAAAAAGTTGGGGTGTGTTGCCCGTAGGAAGCAGTCCGTCACCAGAATCGAAATCTCGTCGCCCACTTCGGAAGGACTCTTTAATTTACATATAGATTTAAGTTTAAAAACAAATATGAAAATCAAATTGACCCCATATTTTTCATAGTTTAAATGAAAGAGCGTTTTACCTCTAATCATGTATCTATCCTGAAGGATAAACACAAGACTCGAGGGCGAGACTCGATCAAATAAACTAAGAAAGACATGACATCCGTTTGGTCTGCGAAACCGTTTTATTTGCCGACAAATTTCCCTATTTAATATGAAAAATTAAATAGAGTTTATTTTAAGCTAGGTTTGGAAAAGCTTCCTATAAGGGCAAGCCCCTATAATTAATTACATCTTAAATGATCGAAGTCACTTAAGAATACTCTCGATAAAAATCAAGAAAAATTATCTTCAAGGACTTCAAAACGATAGGACTTTTCAACGAAATTGAACAAAGAGGTGTGCAAAGGGGAATAGTTCAAACTTGAAACATTTATTGTAGAATCTAAAGGAGGAAGATCTAGGGGATGTCATAGATCCAGAGGAGATCCTCGGTGGAGATCCTCGGTGACTTCCCAATCTACCCTATGGTTTGACTTCAGTTTCAAGGAGAAATATTCAAGTGTTTTATCTTGCCAATTTTATCTATTTAGGGCTTACATTCGTGTGAAACGATCACACAAATAGTCTGGAAGATGTGAGGATTTAGGTCGTAACGAACGACAACCTCAGAATCTTAAAACGAGTTGTGGCTTAGATTGTACAGCAGAGCTATACAAATGCTTAAAGAAAAAGTTGAAGATTTATGTTGCGCTAGGCGAACAACCTCGAAATTCTATGGATTGTTTTAATTTCTATGAAAGAAATGGTTTAGCCGAGGAAAACATGTTCTGCTGTTGAAGATGGTCGTGCTGCCCACAACGCTAGCTCCCAGCTCCTTGTCGTGACGACTTTATGTTTTCAAGGGTGTCAGGTTATAATGTCAAATTCAGCGGCTCTATGGTTGTAGTTCTTCAGATATTTTATAGATAACATGTTGAAGTTGACAGTGTATAGCATAACAGTAGGGTATGTAGCACAAGACAAGCAATACAACATGCAATAAAGAAAGTAGTACAACATGCGGTGTAAAGGAAAAATAAAAAGAATACAACAGGTAGGTGATTTGCAAGAAAGTAACATGTTGTAAACATAAAACAAACCTGTATACCTGGGAGGTCTGCTGTTTCTTAGGTGTAATTGATGCAACATGTACAAACAACAAAACTTGAGGAAACAGGCTGAAATACTTTATATAAACGAAAACAAAGAAACATCGTCCAAAAATCTCGAGAAAGATCGTAAAAAAACTCACAACAAGAGAAATGCAAGGAAATCGACGAATCGATTAAAATCGTAGAAAACACGGGAAAATCCCGAAAATAGACCTCGAGTGCTTTGTCCAAAAATTCCAAGAAAAATATATAAAAAAGTCTGAAAAGAGGGGAACCGCAAGCACTCGGGTCAGGGCTAGGCTCAACTACATATTAGTACTCGAGGGTCGTTGAAGGCTACTTGGTCACCCGGATGTATAAAACCCGCCACTCAACTAAAAGAGTGTCTTATCGAACTTAACTCAGGAGGGTACTCCTTAGCCTAAACAGGTGATCAACATGTGGACAACCGATGTTTAAAATGTATTTAAAATTTATATTTTTAGCATGCACATAGGTTTCAAACATGCAAAAAGTGGGTTGTATCAATTTTGTTTGTAGCAAAAAATATATTTTTGTTTTAAAAAAATGTGTATATATTCCTATCAAATTTGTTTTTATCAATTTTGAAAAGTAGTTGTCCACGAGTCGATCGCGCTGTTGGGCATAAGACTACCAACAACCTAAGAAGGTTTGGGTCAACTTCTGCTAGTCTTGTGTCGGTGAATGATACTGTCATCCTACAGCTCATCGGGTTCCTGAATCGGATTCTGATGGGTTCCTGAATCGGATCCTGATGTCGTAGGATGACATATCATTCTGCTTTATTTCCGGTGTGTCTTTACCATCACCGCCCTAAGCCCCAAAACAAAACCGACCTACTTACAACCTTGTTTGATGGTTTCACGTAGCAAAAAGGTATACATGGACACTTATGTATCAAACATAAGCATAAAAAAACTGAACCAAGAAGCAAGAAAAAAAAACAAAAATGAGGTGAGAGAGAGGAGGGACTGATTCACCTAAAACATCGAAAAAAACGAAGGATGAATCAGCTCTCAAAACTCGTGACGAAAAGACCTGAAAAAGAAAACCCGAAGATCCTTAAATCAATCCGAAATAATATCATTTTCTCGCATTTTTATAAGTGGATCAACCCAAGTCAAAATGACGTCCTAAAGCAGGTATCCAAACCCCAAAGATGTCTTTTATGAAATCAATTCGTCTCAACCAAGTATTCTCCCGAAATAAAATTCAGAAATCTCCCAAACTTCACAATTTAAATGAAAGGAAAATAACCCCGGGACGACGGCCACTTATACTTCCAAAAATCATGTCAAAATTAAAGCTATTCAATTCCATACTTAATGAACAATTCGATCCAGTTACCAAGGTGGATCGAGGGTCTACCGAAGGTGCTCTAAGCTAAGTCGAGCTTGGGAGTAGTCTTCTGGGTCCCCTAGAGGAGGCCTAAGAAGAGGTGGCCAGTAGACCAGAATCTCCTAGCTTGAAAGAATGTTGTCTGCGCAAAATAGAAGACATGATCATCCACAGAACCAAATTTCCTCAGGTTGGGGAGTTGCACCTGCTGGTTGAGCAGGTGAATAAGTTGGAAAAGTTGGAGGAAGAGGTGGTTGCCATCCGTGCTTGAGAAACTACCCTCTAGTAGGAAGTGACAGTTCTTCTATCTGAGTTGTTGGTAATCTGAGAGGCGCCTTCGACTGTCCTAGAACAAGCTGAAATAGAAAGATAGTACGTTTAGATTATGGTCGAACTTTTGTATAAGTGGTTCTTTCAGTAAGGATTTGTCTCGACCGAAGCTTTTGTAAAGCATGTTTTTGAATAGCTGGTAGTGACTGATGTAAATATTATTATTGAAATAAATATTTAATTTTTTTATCTCGATTTGTGTGTTTGATTTGACTCCCTTTCCACAATTTTGAGTGACAAATGATGTCTCTACCTTTGCGATGGTTCAACTTCCTTTCGTTGTCTATTAATAGAGCTAAGGGTGTAGTAAATGCTCATGCATTTGTTTCATTTTCTTTAGTTCTCTCTATCAATCTTTTCTTTCGGCAGCTTCTTTCTTTCTTGAATTTCATGACGCCAAATTATTTCCAAGGGCTTTTTGGCTTCATCCCATTTGAGGACGTGTCGATCCTGGCTGCACGCCATTTGGAGTGCCTCCAAGATTTGTCTGTATATGGAAATTCGTTTGTTTTACGGGCAGTCGAGGATAGTGACCAAGTGACCAATGTCTATGGAAATGATTCTGTCTTCTTCCGAGATCAATTCAAAAGTGTTATATGGCTGCCTTTTTGCCAAGTGCTGCGAGTGATCCTCAATCACGCAAATGATATCAAATTCTATTTATACAATCATGACATTCGTTGTCTTCCTCCGACATTTGGATGTCCCATGGTCAACCGATCTCTTTTCCTATTCTTCAACTTCAAGGTCGGTTGAGATGGCTATGCAATGTTCTCAGTGGGCCCCATACTCTAGCATGTGGTACTTGAGAACAAGATCAAGAACTGGAAGCTGAGGTTCCCAATCGCTTCCTGCCGAGGAAGCTAGGGGATATGTGTCCTGCCCATTACAAGTGCCCTCCAAAAGATCAAGACCCTACCTGAATCCCTGAAGTAGTATAGGGGCATGATAGAGAGGCAAGAGTCATCGGTGCTTCTGTTTTTGGACTTCAGGTCAAAGGAGTTTAATGACATGACCAACAAGTAGTGTGAGTCCTGTGATGCTCAGGAGGCAAAGTAGGAGGAGACTGCAGAGAAGGCAGACAGAAAGAAGCTGAGGGCGCAGGGCATTCGTCCCGAGGCGATCGCTACTCCCCGACCATGTTTCCCGTCATGTAAGAGTGTGCCTCTTTTCTTTTTAACTTTGAAAATCACTTGGTCACTTAGCATTTCCCTTGGAGAGTAGCTAATTGAGTAGATTACTTTGTTAGGTGTTGGAACTTCTGTAGTTCGTCAAAAAATCTCCCCCAAAACATCGAGTTTCTTTCGACAGAGTGGAGAGGAAGAAAAGTCGAGGAAGTAGCCAAGTAGCTCGGCTTTTTTTTCATTGATGCCAGGTCGAAAGGCGAGGCGAGTCAACCGTCGCCTATGTCCTTGTCAGATTATGACATTGAGGCCATTGCTGAGACAGAGTGACATCCAAAAAGAAACCACTCTCCACTACGAGGGAAAACCTTTCGCTGAGGATGTCGCCCAACCGCCGCCTCCTCTACAAAAACACAAGGGTTCTCCTCTGTGTTGGATTCCCTCCACGGAAGACATTAATGTTTGGTTGAGCTCTGTCGGGCGCTACACCAGGGTGGATATTGTAATGAAGTGGTATATGGAGACGTCTGTGACAATAAACTACTCTTGTCTTCTAGCAAATGTGGTCTGATCTGACTAATTTGAGGGGCTACTGCGGAGGCTCAACAGAGTGGACTTTGGCCAGCTTAACGACTGGTGCCACCTTATGGCATGGTCAGCTACCCACCATAAGGTGAAGGGCTTTCATCAGATGGAGAAGAAGAAAGCAGCTGTTGAGTGAAGGATGACTGAGGCGGTCACTCAGATGAAGGAAGTAGAACAAAGGGTCATCCAGGCAGAGAAGAGGTTGATATTTTCTACTGAGAGTCGAGAGAAGGATGTGGAGACTATTTAGGCTTTGGAGGAGGAAAAAAAGAATGAAAAGGCGATGATAGTCAGGATGATGACCTCCTAGGAACATGTTAATTTGGTCTCCTAACAACTCTATGCAGGCTCATCCTTGGCCACCCACTGTTTTGTTAAGAAGGGCTTGATCAACCAAAATGGGCTGCTACGAGACAGTTCGCCACCCTTCCCTCTGACTTAGAGGACAACAGTAAGAAATCTGCAGGAGCTACCAAAGGAGTATGCAACAACAAAGGTGGATCGACATCTTCTTAGAGCCTTTTTTAATCCATATACTTAGAACGACTACATCCAACTGAATTGTAAAGTCATGGAGAAAACTTGTATATAAAATTTATTAAAATAGAAACTTTTTTAATCCATATACTTAAAATAAAGGTATTATCGAGCTCTTGTGACCTTTTTTATATCATCGAATAATTTTGGTACATGGAGAAAGGAAAAGCCAAAAATCCTATTAGATGAAAATGCCTCTCTATTTATAGGAGAGGGAATAGAATGAAGAAAAATTACATTTCTAACTCTGTTTCAAGGAGGTTTGTAAAGGTTATTATAGGAATTATACTCCTGTGAGCCCAGAGACTTGCTATCCTCTGGCTCGGTCGAGTGAGGCTGAAGAGGCTAGATTAATAGAGTTGTCGGTCGGCTATCTGGATGGGGACTCTCAGTCGGTCGCTCCTTCAGTTAAGGGCGGCCGGCTGAGCTACTGAATATAGTCAGTGTGACTGATCCAGTTAGTTGAAATTAGTCGGTCGTGAGTCTTCAATTCTAGCTAGGAGTAGGGGTGTCAAAAATTGGCCCAATACACCAACACGACTCAAAAAAATCTAGGTTAGAGTTGACCTGAATATTTTTCGAGTCGGGGTTGGCTCAGAGAATTCGACCCATTTATTATTCGGGTCGGGTTCAGGTTGAACCCGAAAAGCTAAACATGACCCGAATAAGCATGAAAGTTTGGGTCAAGGGCAGGTTAGAGGTTCAAGCTCGGGTTTAGGTTTTAGTTTTCTACGTATTTATTATTCGAGTTGGGTTTAGGTTGACCCTATTCGGGTCGGGTCATTTTCGGGTTAAACCTGAACCCAATCCACTGACCTGAATTGACACCCTTTGCTGGAGGAATTCCCATCAGCTGTGTAAACCTAAGCCCTTAGAGGATTTGGGCGTGCCTCATTGAGGCGATTCTTTTAGGGCGTTGTGTTGCTTTCCAGTGGGTCTGACATTGTCTTGTCATTTTTTCTTGAGTTGTCAGATTGTCTCGAGTTTCATGCTGACATATTTTTTATTTGCATATTTTGTTCCCATATTCTGTTGTTTCTTGGAAGTCAAGCTGCGATAGAACAAGATAATTTAATGCTAAAGGTGAACATTGTTTACGATTACTTAATAATGTAATAATCGAACTCATATTGAAATTTGTGCCCGTGTTTCCATGTGCCCGTGTTTCCTATAAAAATAGAGTAAGGGGCATTCTTTTCCCATCTTTCTCTGATTTGCTTTACCTAGCATGTCTAAATTTTGATTGCCAACATGATTAATGAGTCGTCTTCCAATGCTGATAAGTACAAAAAAGTCGCTTACCGTAGGGCTTTCAATGATGTAAGGTTGGAGATTGAATCCTACCTGAATTACCTGAAAGGGGAGCAAAGGCAAAAAATGTTGGTGAAGAAGCGGGATAGATGCAATTCGGATGATGAGGTGTGGTCATCGGGCTCGCTCTTTGGTCTCTCGATGAGAAGGTACAGGCGGAGGAAAGCCACCCGAGAGAGGGTGCTAGTGAAGAGAAAGGTTGCCTAAAAGAGGAGTCTCCAGTGGAGGAAATTGGCATTCTAAAGGAACGACAGGTCGATTCGTCGGCTCCTGCTCAGTCTCCAGCACCGGGAGCAAAGCAAGGAGCTAATGGGGCTCCAATGATACTTGGGGCACCAAAAGTAGCTACCGGGGAAACTGTGTGAAAGGTCGATGATGTAGGGTGTTGTCGACCTCCCTCTGCTAGCCGCAAGACAGATGACTAATGAAGAAGGGTTCTCTTTCGCCACTTCGGAGTCGAAACAAATCTTGGGTATTAAGGATGTTTGTTGGGTAAATTTTCTTATTCTGAATCCTTTATATTGTCTTTTGATGCAGACGATTCGATTCAGTTACCAAGGTGGATCGAGGGTCTACCGAAGGTGCTCTAAGCTAAGCCGAGGCTGGGAGTGGTCTTATGGGTCCCCTAGAGGAGGCCTAAGAAGTGGTGGCTAGTAGACCAGAATCTCCTAGCTCAAAGAATGTTGTCTGCGCAAAATAGAAGACATGATCATCCATGGGACCAAATTTCCTCATGTTGGGGAGTTGCACCTGCTCAACCTGCTGAATAAGTTGGAAAAGTTGGAGGAAGAGGTGGTTGCCATCCGTGCTTGAGAAACTACCCTCTGGGAGGAAGTGACAGTTCTTTTATCTGAGTTGTTGGTCATCTGGGAGGCGCCTTCGGTTGTCCTAGAACAAGCTGAAATAGAAAGAGTAGATACGTTTAGATTATGGTCGAACTTTTGTACAAGTGGTTGTTTCAGTAAGGATTTGTCTCGACCGAAGCTTTTGT